TGAAATATTGTGGCAACCATGTTATAACTTAGAGTGTACTTACCTATGTTATCAAAAAAATAATGACGCTATTGCACAGATAATATTCTCTCCTATACGTTGTGGAATTTTGGTAATTCTACTATAAATACAAAGGGAGTAAGTTCCGCACTAAACAGATTTTGCTATGTTATACGTTTGTAAGACGGAAACAACACATAGGGGTGTGGCTYCCTCTTAAATATTGGTGAATGGTAATTCATCATTTGTTTGCTAACACTTTTACACAAAACAAAATTTTAAACAGATAATATATAGTTATTTGGCCATTTAATTTTTCAAGCTAAAAAAGCAGGTATGGATGTYCCTTTGCTGTACTACTAGTTTACTAGTAGGTTACCGTTAAGGATGGTATCAAATTTGAATTCAATGATATAATATCATTCTATACCTACGAAAAACGATTCTGAGCAGAGACGGTTTGTCAGTCTAAGAGGTATAGGTATCTATAAAATAAATTCCAAATTAAATGAATCAGATTCATTSTGTACTCAACTTGGTCATTTATAGCTTATACATTTTTATATTAGTCATTAACAACATAACTATTATTTATTAAAATTAGAATATAAGTATATAAGTCTTATTGCTTAGTGCACGGTCAACTTGGTAATACATATGTAAACACCACCTGAGTGAAACACCATATCAAGGGAATGGTTAATTAAATATAATAACAATAGTAGATTATCGAATGCATAGAAAGACGATGCAGTAATTAATAGTCATAATTAAGCAATTTGTGGAAATATATAACACGATAAAAAGCTATAAACATATAAGTTAATGGATAAAGAGGTATTATCAATAGGCGTTGTGTATACACAGGAGGAGGGACCTCAAACTGTTAATGTACAAGAGTTTCGKTACCAATGGTTAGAATATACATATTTTGATTAAACGATTCAGAAGTAGTAATGTGACTATTGATAATGCAGCTGCATAGGAAGCACATTTGCCTTGGGCGTGGGTAGTCAGCATTTATGTCAGTAGTTGGTGGTTAACAGCATCCGTTGGAACAGAAACGATATCACATTGGCTATTAGGAGTAGAGAGTAGTACTATACAAGAGACCCTCAAAACGCCTTGTATTCAGATGTGATTTTACTAAGAGCACCAGAGTACCTTCACGCTAGTTTGTTTTCTGACTAACTCATTTGGACTTAAAATAATTCGTGCAGCATAATATTTGGACTTAGAAAATTATTGAGTCAAATCTTATACTTTCTAGACACTTAGAATAATTGCATTGATCAAATTATTTAAGTCTTCTGTTTGAAATAAAATAAAATTGTATTTATGAATAAAAGTACATCTATTATAACATAAATAACTGTTCGAGTCATTACAAGAGTCACCTTATTCATCATCCTTGATTCTTGACACCTGTAGGCGATAAGATAACTTTATTATATAGTCTATATACTTATTATATAGTATGTATAATATACATGCATGATACATAAGTATACTCTAGAAATATCTGGGAGGTTAACTAGTACATTTTTTGTATACCAGACTTCCAACTAAATCCATGTACTTTCGTATACTTCCATGTATTTTCCTGTACTTCCATATACCTACTTTCTTAAAATTCAAAGCTCAAACCAATATCTGTGTTCTTCTCTGTATTTCTTTCAACTTCCCTGTTTCTACCATGGTTTATACATAGGTACTTTCGTGTACTTTCTTTTTAATTCCCTTTCTTGTATTTTCTAAATATAAACATCTTCCTTTTACCAACATTTTCAAACATGCGTATTAAGATTCTAAAAAAAATTATTTAACTAAATTAATGTAATCTTGGTGTATTATTAGTAGGTATATAGTATATATTATCATATTTGTTCTAACAACTTATATTGTTCATATTTCATCTCGTTGTTCATATTATGTCATCACTGCAAAATAAATACCTAATGTGGATTGCTGGTCACGATTATTGGATTTTATAATATTAAATATATTCCTATTAGTTATATTCTTATACTATCGAATGTCTCAATACATTTTTTACCATTTACGGGGGTTAAATATGGATCATGATATTAACATTATTTAAAATCACGGAGTTCTAGTCTTATCTCCATATACTATAATATAGTATATTATATTACTTATACTAAAATTTATAATTTAAAATACATGACAAATCTGAAATTTAAGAGGTGAATCAAATAGATATTTATTGTAGGATTTGTTATTATACGGTAGGTAAAATATGTTTAGATATAGTACCTGCAATAAATAATACATAATCTGATCTGAGTGAAAGAAACATAAAATGTTATTCTAAAACTAGTTTATACAAAATATGCTACACGTTATTTAACAATAGGTATTTATTTAGTTTTATGATAATTAAATAAACACAAATTCATAAAAATTGTAATTGTAATTAAAAATGTATCCTTACTGTGTTTTATAGAGGCTCATTTGATAAAATAGTGTTACTACAATTTTAACAACAAATACCTATTTCTAATATTCACTGAATAATTAAGTAAGCCGATTTGATATGAATGATAATAATAAATATAGGTAGAATATTTAAAATTGTATTTTAATTGTTAATACATTCGAATAATTTTGAGCTTTTCGGTTCTTTTTATTTCAAATGGACTATACCCGATCAATGCTAAAGGTCCATTAAATATGTACTTCCTTGGAACAACTTGAATATCATCATATCTAGGCCACTTGAATTTATCCAATTCTTCTTTTAAACATTTTATTGTATATTGGTTTTCATTAATATTAATTGCTCGCCCAATATACCACCCAATACCCATTGTCACATATAACAACATAATAATGTTCAACTTTGATATTTATAAGCTCTGTATTTTGTGCATCATCACTACTTTCAAAATTTTCAGAGCTAGGATCATCATTAAATATTAATTGTTGATCACTTGATTGTGAGGAACCGTCCTCAGCAGAATTATTTACACTACCTCCACATGTGCCTTTTTTTTTTTTTTCGCTTTTTCCCATTCTTTAGAGGTTGAGGTAAGCATTCCGGTTTATAATAAATTCAATTTACTATTTGATGCATTAATAAATCTCTTTAACCTATCACAACTTACTCAGTCGYGTGGTTATTCAAAAAGCCAACAAAGTAAAGATTTTTTGATTACCATTAATGCTTTAYTAACCAATATAACTTTTACAAATTGTGAATTTATAGGTATTTTAGAGATACTCAAATCATCATTGTTCATAAATTGATTACTAAAAGACTATTTTATATTATGTCTCACATTTTCGCTGAGCGATAACAAAATTTAAATAGTAAAATACTGACGAGCATGAGTGTGAGAAAGGGGTTATTATTTTTTTTTATAGTTATTTTATTTATAATTGTGTCTAGATATTTATATGCACATACATTATGCGTTAGTATTACACTAAGACAGCAGATGGGGGTACAATGTTTTCTTAAACTATAATAATTTAATTTCAGTACTTCTGCGTATTCCTGCATACTTCCATGTGCTTCCTTGTACTTCCATGTATTTCCATGTACTTCCAAAGTATTTCCCAATATTTGTACACCTACTTCCGCTTGTGGTTTACCCTCCAGAAATATCAAATGTCTACGAATAATATTTTTAAATTACAACAATTTAACAAAAATTGTTATTCTTGATKATTTTCCACATAGCAAAATTATATTTTAATAATTTTGTAGTAACATTTAATCATTATTTAATAAAAATATTATCAATTCACTTCAATAATATTTTACAACATTTCAAAAATATTTTGAGTTCTTAAGCTGGCCAAAAAAAAAAAAAAATATTTCTAAAAAAATTTTAACAACATTTTCAATATATTTCATTATAATATTTATATATTGTTATTAATTATTAGTTCTAGACATTTTTTTTAAAATATTAAAATTATAACATTTTATTAAGATGTTGATAATTTGTAATAATCATTTACGTAATTATTATGATTTGAATGACATAAATTTTTTTTTCTATTATGTCACCCATTAAATATTTACCTTAAATGTTTTTTAAACATTAATAGTATTCTGACTCAGTAGTATATTATTAAGAACCCAATTAGATTTACAATGTTTATTATAGGGTTTATTATTATATTTTCTATTTTTTTTGTGAACACATTAGCTAGAATTACTGTGTAATTTTTAACATTCATTAATCTTTTTTCATTAAACAATTTAAACTCAAATGTCATATAGCCAGAGAAYTAATTTACAGTAGAAAAGACAAGTCATTTTTTAACTTCTTAAAATTCCTAAACTAGATACAGAAGATACATAACACTGTTATCTAGAATTTATTATTATTATTCTGATGAATAATGTAGTTTAATTTAATTGAAAAAACAAAGTTATTGATTAAAATATTTTTTATTATTTATTTAACAGCATATAAAATAAAAATAAACAAATGAAAATTAGTCCTAAGCAGAACTATTTTAAAGACTTTAAAATGCCTAAATTGCTAAAAAAAATAATAACTTATAACATTAAATATTGTTACTGTTTTTCATTAAAAAAATATAATAACAAGGTTAAGTTMAAACTTTTAATAAATCATTTATTTTCAATTGTTTCTATGTTATTTTGTACCTCATTTTTCACTCAAAAATGAGCTTGACCTAGCCAGGACTTTATAGCGTTTCTGATGTTAACATCTCGTACATCTTAAAATGTGTTGTCATCCTTTATGGCATCTGTAATAATGTAATATATTTTAGAAAATAATAGTTTAATAAATTAATAAATTTTCATTTTCATGTATGTTTTAAATACATATATTTAATAGCTTATATACATGTATAATAATACTAACACATAATAATTATGTAATTAATTCTTGAGATGTCAACCTTAACACAAAATAAAAATAATAGACTCATATATGAAGACWTCAAAATACTACCATGACCACTAAATAATAATTAATATATTTATATCTAGGAATGATATTCCAAATAATTTATTAAATTACTAAGCAAATATTAAACGACATCAGAGTAAATTGGAAAAGGATCTTTTCTTTTTGAATGTAATAAAAAAAATATTTCCCAAAATATGTGTCACCAAAAAATTCATTTMATTATACGCCTCACACTATCTCCAACATCATATTAAATAATAATATATATCATGTGTATTTATACCATTAAATTTTTGTAAGTAGTGTCACTATCCAATTTAGTTTCTATAATTCCCAGCTGATCATCAGTGAAAATTGACYTTTTGTTTCAATATTTTCATTTGGAATTACAGAAAATTACACTCATTTACACATTTTGTTTGGTAATAAGTACGTAAATCATATTTTCAAAAATATTTAATTTTTCATCCATTCCTTGAAAAGTATAAATAGTTTTTTAATTGATCTAAATATCTTATCTTGAAACTCTAAAAAACAATAATACATATCATTCAGCATATATAAATAGTTTAGTATATAGGTACAGTAGGTACACACAATAAGTCTATCAATAAATAGTACATATACCTGTAATACATTTTAATAATTCAGATTGTAATCAAAGTAAAACCTTAAGAAATTAACAGTATGGCAAATTGTTATTTAAGTTTTTTCTATCTTGATTKTAGTGCATTTAATATTCTATATTTTTTTATTACTATAAATTTGGAATTTATATTTATAAATAAAATAAATAGTATTTTATATACCTTCATTAGCCATGGTTAAAAAATGTCTTGTCATGCTGAGTATAAATATTTTCTGTATTTTGTTTTAAAATCCCYGATGGTGTTATATTCATATTCAGTGTTTGTACTGGTGATTGATTATTTGATTCGATAATCTTAAACATTTCTATATCATTAAATACATAGATATWAGTTACAATTAAATAATATATTCTTTATCCCGTTCTTTATAAATATGATTTACTTCTAGAATTGGTTGTATAATTTGGAGTAATATYGTATTGTTCAGAATTAAAGTTAATGTTTTGTGTTCAATATCATGTACATGTTTGAAAAAATGCTCATTGGGGGTATAATTTTTATCTTTCTCTGTGTTATCTTCATCGCAAATAATTATATTTGATGATGGGCTATCATTGTATATGTATATGCTGCCTTTAYTTTGTTTTTTATTATAGATAGTTAAAATATCACCTTTTATTTAAAAAAAATATATATTACCATATGAAATAATGTATACATATTCTTTGTAAAAAACATAAATATTATTTTGTGCCATTATCAAATAATGGTGGACTTTTAATGGGTTCTTCAATACCGAAATTTTGTTTTTTACTTGATAACTCTATAAACAAAAAAAATTGTAATAAATAATCTAAGTAACATACTATACACTATATTAAAATTTAATATATTAATTGGTATTCGTTAAGTATTTTTAGTATATATTTTATAAAAAAAAATTTAATAAATATAAATAATAATATCAATATAATGAATTATAAATAAAAATTTCCAAACTTAATTTATTATATTGGAATAATAAAAATGAAATAAAATTTACCTATTTATAACCAATGATAATACCTATTAAGTATAACAAAATTTAATAACTAATTTTCCAAATTTTTTTTTTGCATTCATTTTGGGTTTATTTTTATTGTTAATTAGGGAATACTGTCTTATCCTCATAATTATAAAATTTGATACTATATGTGACAGAACTTCTGTCTTATGTATTGAACACGGGAAAGCAATAGAAAAAGTCATCAATAGTTAATAAAAATACATTATACTATCCAGTAGCCACTAGGACTAGGTTTCTAAAAATAAAATTTCAATAATTATTAATTACAATATATAATATTATAATTTCAAAAATAATTATTTTAGTACGTAATCAATAGACTACCAGAATGAGCTAGTAACCATACTTGTACCATTGGAAACATTTGAGGACCGGCCTTCTACTACCCTCCAGCCATGTCGATTCCAGTCCTGTATAATAATATGTTAGTCCGTGATGCATCCCCATCACTGGTTCTGTATGGACGGCGGCCGTGGATTCAATCGTGCCGTCGTCGACAGCCGACGAATGGCGACCAATCACAGAGCGATTATGCTCAGCTAGAGATTCCGGATGTCGTTTCACGTTTCATCCGGATGCGCCAAAGCGGTGCGTTCTAATTCTTGGCAGAGTATAGACCAACTAAAATAACTCTAAAAGTAATAAGTAGAGCCCGGAATTATATTCTTTTACATATTTTTTATGAGTATGCAGTCAGACAGGGGTTCGAAATCTTTACGACTCATGAAACAGGTGTAATAATGGCAAAAGTTTTTTTTGCATATTTGAGAATATTTCAAGATAAAAGAATATTTCGTATAATAAAGAATATTAGAGAATATAT